ACCAATCCGAGTGTGTGTACTTCATGCTGGTGTTGTCGTCAAAGTTCTACAACAGAACGTATGACTTGCTTGTTGCCTACATTCATGTCTGAAGAAACCACGTCGAAGATCGCGAGAAGTATCATCGGGTACTTTAAGCGATCTAAAGCTGATATGAGATCTTCAGCGTCGAAGATATGAGCGGCTACGTGATGAAACAGCAGAGACAGGGGTTTTGTGAGGAACCGGCTCACTCTAACTGACGGTCCTCCGCATGATGATATGACTGGTCAGGTATTGATCAAGTTTTCATTGACTTGGCAAGATGACACCGATGATCCTGGGAATGGTGATGATGGAGTGAGTGACGATTATCTGTTAAGAGCAGTTGGACGTCCTCCCTCTATGGGGCGAACTTGTGAAAGGCAAATAGTACCGAATCCAACACTTCCTGGTTGAAGTCTATCGATACGGCAGACAAAGATCCCAAGTTGAGCAGAGCTTCAATTTCTCCGTGAACGGCGTCTATTCCGACTGTTGCACCTCGTTTTCGTGGCGTCGCATTAGGTGTAATAAAATGGTGATCTGTTGGAGAATGAAGACACCATAGTGATATCGCTGTGATAGACCACCATTGTTTTTGTTATGATGATCATCATTGTTTGTATTGTGATATTTAAAGCACAGTGTGTGGTGAGGTTGTCAATTTTCTTCGACGATGACTTCCAACCAAATCCGGTCACTACGTTCACAACAGTGGCGATCAGGAACCAAGCATGGAGGAGCAGCTGGCCGAATTCTTCACCTACTCCAGCGCAGGATGGACCAACAAGACAAGGCTTTGGAACTCCTACAATATCAACAGAAAGAAACCGCGGACAATTTCCTGCGTCTCCTGGAGAAGATGGAAGACAGAACGACGACAAGTGGAGTGAGTCCAGCAGCCTTGAAACATACAATTTTCGATTCACTATGTAAGCGCATAGACAGATTCACCTTCGACATTGAGAATAACAGAACTTTGATCTTTGGTTCAAAAGATTCAAGGACGTTTTGATAATGACTGCAGCGAACTGAGTGAAAAAGAGAAGACTGGACTTTTGGTTAGTCGAGGTGTTGGAGAATGAAGACACCTTAGTAATATGCTGTGATAGACCACCATTGTTTTTGTTATGATGATCAGCATTGTTTGTATTGTGATATTTAAAGCACAGTGTGTGGTGAGGTTGTCAATTTTCTTCAACGATAAACTTCCAACCAACTCCGGTCACTACGTTCACAACACCGAGCATGACCTTGTGGTGATAAGGCTGCCACTTTCTCTTGAAATTTCCTTCTTAGTGCTCTCGGATCTGTAAGAACAGCACCTGATTTGTATCACAGTTCGCTTGCTATACGTAGTGGTCCAATCTCTCCCGAAGAAAACTTTCGCAGTTGTGATTCCAAGCGCACAATGTGATCTCCGACGTCGACAGCGGCAATGCATGCGTCAAATAGTGCGCGTCTCGACGGCCGTGTGTGTGGAACATTGGAAAGAGCAATTAGAGGAATTTCGGTATACCAGTTGTACTTATACAAATATGGCAACAAGAGCTCGTTTTCTGCTGTAGTGTCTTGTTCGAATCATAACGGCACTTGTTGATCGAATGGAAACGGTGCCCGAAAACTGCATCCAGCGCCACGTCTAAGTGAGTACGCGATCTACCCTGCATATCTTGAAGTGAGTTTCTTCTTGAAGTGGACGACGACGAGATACAATTTTATATCGGACCTTGCCTTGAAGACAGCCCCGCGCTCAAGTAATTCATGGTCGTCCTTCCCGTGCAAATAGTCCAGCCCTCTATCTGAGAGACTATCTCGCTCTCGCGACTCCACAGTGAGCGAGGAGCTGAAAGTGAAAGGAGTGAAAGTGAAATAGCTGAAAGTTCTAGTTCTAACGCCCGCTCAGTTGGACCGCCCACTTGCTAGATGCCCTCTGACGGAGGGCCGCTCAGTTGTTCTTTGTTGGGGCGGCGGGCATTAATCGGAATTGCATGCCCTTTTTGCTGACCGCGCTCGCGCCCATAAGTGATTCCGCTCTTTTTATTCTAGCTAGCTGAATGCTAGCTGAACCCTAGCTGAATGCGTCACTACTTTAACCCTTGTCGCACACTGCTGAATCGCAAATTCTCGGTATTAATACGTATATTCTCCTCTGTGACCGATAACGAAACTGATTGGCCACATACGGAAAGCATGAACACACCTTCAACGTTCAGTCGACATGGAACTGTGACATTATCTTTAGCGATACTTCTTGAAGCAAAATCAAACTTTCAACAAACTTTTTTGGGATATCAAAGTATTTTATGGAATCCATCGCATCATAACTCATTGAGAGCAATACTTTTATTTGCACACATGGAATCACAGCACTAATGTATTATACAGTGAAATTCACGTTGGAAGACGCCATATGCATTTTTTTTCAAAATACAACATTTCGACACGTATCACTATGCATGACAAACACTTGAAATAACACGATGAAAGCACATTCATCCCAGTGGATTCATATGGCTGAAGCCGTTCGTGGGCAGTTCGCCGCCGACAGGGGCATTCTGCTAGTTCCCATCGACGTGTCGACCCATCTAGAGAGCCATTTCGTGAGCTTACAAGAGTTGACAGGTTTTACCATGGTGGCTCGACGAGCTTGCTCCAGCTTCACAAGAGTTCACAGGTTTCACCGGGGTGAGAATCGTAAGGCATCGTTCACAGTCTGAGTCCCTGAGCAAACGGCGAAAAGCCAGAAATACTTATTGATCGGAGAATCGCCAACCGCCCTGTTCGACGAACCGCCGCGGTTCAGCGGTTGGGCGAAAAGCAATAGATGCGTATCGATTTCGCAGGCTCCGCCCTAGAGAAAAACGCCAGGGTGGTCGGCTAGCGTTTTTCGCCCAACCGCTTCGCCGAACCCCGCCGATACATATCAAAATCGTTCGCGCAACCGACAGACTCTTCGCCCAGCCGTCAATCGATAATTATTGAAAGCTTTTCGCCGGAGCGTTTCTTTTTAGAGAAACGCTGGGCTGAAACTGTGAACAGTCAGGGACTAGTGGAGCAGCAAAAACGCAAAATGCCCCTTACGTTGCCGAACTGTGCTGTCGTTTGTATACAGTAGGATTGCTAACAGCATATGATACTCATGCTAACCTATCTGAAAACCTAGATGCAATGAATTACAGCGATGTACATCTCAGATTAGTGAAGCAGTCTACAACCCGATATTTGGTATAATTTTTTTAGAATACGTGAATGGAGTGCGAACTGCTGCTAAAAGTCCTTTCTTATTGAGAACAGGTGTATCAGATCCATACCTGGAAATGAAGTTGACTAAGTGGAAAAAAAACAAGCACAGAATGGAAATACCACAGCAACGTGTAAAAGAGGAAACAATTGAAGCTGATTACCGTAGAGGAAATCCTTCCAAATCAAGCATTGCACCTCCAAAGGCACGAAGGATTGCATCTCCAGCACAGGTGTCCCATTTCTTGATTGCAGTTTGATGTATATAAAGCTCTGAAATTGGCAATAGTCAGCCCCCTTTTCTAGGCATACACGAACGACCGCCTATTAAAAAAGCCTGATTACAACTTTGACTAATTAGAAGCTTCATTTTCATCAAGTTATTTGACTTTCTTATTTTTGAACTTGTTTTACTATCCAATGTTACGGTTGCTGCTGTTCAACGCCGCAGAAAAAACACTGAAGTGAGAGGGCAGAAAGTGGCCTCAATGGCGTAAAGGTGGCCTCTCCCGCAAGTATGAGTTGCGGGTTCAAACCCAGGCCTGAAAACAGGACTTCAGAGCTTAAAGGCTGAGCTCGCATTCAAATTTGATGAGTTATGGGCATTCAAATTTGATGAGTTATGCGGCTCAAATACTTATAACAAGGTAGCAAGTAACCCCTTAGAAGAAAAATCAGAAAGAAATCATAGGAAAGGCTCTATATAGAACCCCTTGCTTAACTGAGGTTGTACGTGCTCAAGGCGAAGAGAAGGTGCGGTCGCACGAGTTCTCACTTGTTGATATCAGCTGTTTTCCCTTATCACCTCACTCTCACCACTCGACGTGGAGAGAAGCAGCAGCGAAACAACCGCACCATCAGGTAACCATTAGAAATGAATGGAGGGCGGTGCCAATGATTGTAGGTTGGGCCAATGAGAAGAACGACGGCATCGTGGGCCTCCTCACTCGTTTTTGCGCCGCGAAAGTGGTGTAGTTGTTGCCTCTGCGGACCTGACTACCTGCTCACGAAGGGAGAGGAAAATCTCAACTGAACGCGGACGCTGCTTTTGACTCAGCATTCCTGCGAACTGCTAATTAAGAGCTCTGCATAGTGTAACTGGTCCAGCTCGGGTTTAAAACCGAGGGAGAGCCTGTGTATGATGCCCCATGCACAGAATAAGTTCTTCTCCGAGCAAAGTGTTATGGCCTAATTTTCAAACTACGATAGGTATGGCAATAAAACTCAAAATCTAGCTACCCAAACCTCCACTGCCACAGTATCCTTCCTGATCTGAGTGTCTATTTTTGATTTAGTTAGCCCGTTTGTTTGTCCTAAGCTGCTTGATCTTGATGGCTAGTATGATATACTGCTTGAAGAGCTCCCAGCCCTGCTTGAATGTGGCCTTTCTATCCAGCAGCTCCATGTAGATGACTCTCGCGTAAGACAATGCTTTGCTTTGCGCTACTGTGCCTCATATTATCACCAATTCGACTCTCTCCAAATGTATAAATGAAATAAGGACAGTATACAAAATTACAAACCCGCAGTGCCGTTCAATAACCGCAGGGTCTTGTACCCACTTCCTCCTGCTGGCTCCACAGTATACTCATCACCGAATGACTGCCGCGCAAGCTTTTCAACAGCACCTGCATGGGATCTAGAACACAACATCAAGTGAAATAACTTCCAGTTACACTAATGCAATAATTAAGTCAACTATAGTCTAGTTCGCTGCGGAGAATGGGCGTGTCAAGCGAGGTGAATTTGGCGCGGTGCCAACCAGTTTTCCACCAGTTGTTAAAATGAACAAGTAACAATACAGTATCATATCGTTTGTATCACTCGTTTTCTACCAGCTGATGTCGCATACCCGCTTGAACAACTGGTAGAAAACAGGTTTGGCACCGTGAGAAACTCATCCCGTCTGACATGCCCCTCCGCCCGAACCTAAGTTTAACTTGAAATGAATAACTTCAAATCTTCCAACATAGATAGAAAACTTAACAAAATGAATAAAGTATGTTGAGCTTGACTGACCGTGATACTACTATTTTCTTCACAGTG